TTCATCTGGAGAAGTCCCCACGTACTGTTACCGTTTATGTCATTGAAAAAAGGTATTTGCAATAAATAAGTCATTGATTGGGCAAAAATTATACACTTTGCCATCTCTGGCATCATATCTATCACCAAGGCCACATTTTCCAACTACCAATGCTGTTTCTTTGTTTCCAACTTTTGCGTTCTAATCACCAGTATTTATCAACACATCTTGATTGCGTGTTTGGTCAATTAATATTGTAGAAGTTGGTTAAAAATCTTGAATTTCTTCATCTTTGTTGTCACTATGATCTAAATTTAGTCAAGGTATGTAACTTTTCTGGTGACTTGGCTTTCAAAAAAAGTAAGAATAATTGGCACATTAAAAATACCCAGTTAAACCACTGGAAGGCAGTGCGAAGAGTATTCTTACCCTCTATGGATTGGAATCAATGTAATGAAACAAAATGTATAGGAACTGTTGAATGGAAAATGAATTTGCCCTGTGAACTTTCACTCAAACCATAATTAAAAGTTAAAAACAAAACAAAACAAAACAAAAACCCAGTTAAAAGTACCATGCATTTTTGACTGCTAACCAGAAGTTTGGTGGTTTAAACCCACGAGCCACTCTGTGAAAGGAAGACCAGGCAATCTACTGCCATAAAGATTTACTGCCTCAGACACCCAGTGGGAATCACTGTGAGTCAAAATTGGCTCAATGGCAGTGGGTTTTTTTCCAGACATTTATTTATCCTCCACTTTTAATTATTATAAATGATACTGTGATTAAAAAAAAAAGTATCAAGCTTTTTAAACCACAAATCTGAAAATGGTTAGAGCCAGTAACACAAGAATTCCACCTCTGTAATCTATTTTAATGGGAGAGGACCTTAACTATTAACAAAATATTAGAAACAAAATGTCCAACAACAAGAGAATAGCTAGGTAAACTATGAAATATTTTAAATAGCGATGTAAAAACAAAACAAAGAAACTCTTTAGAATATATCATGTTCAGTAAAAAAAAAACCAAGAAATAAAAACATACTACATTTTTAACTCTGGCTAGGCTATATTAAAAATCATCTCCATGCATGCAAGGGGAAAGTCTCAAAAAAAAAAAAAACAACACAAACTATAAATGTTACTTAAAATTATGTACAAGTGGTGGGAATACTAATGACTTTTTTTCCATTTTAACATTTTTTTATATATTTCTTAAATTTAGGAAGAGAAAAGTACATATGATAACAAGGCAGCAGAAAGACATCCCATGCTCATGGATAAGAAGATTTGACACTGTTAGGATGGCAATACTTCTAAAGTTATCTGAAGATTCAACACAATCCCTATCAAAATCTCAGTTGGCTAGTTTGCAGAAATTGACAAATTGATACTAAAATTAGTATATACATGCAAGGGACTGGTACATTTGATAACAAGGCAGCAGAAAGACATCCCATGCTCATGGATAAGAACTCATTAGAGAAATGAGCATATATTCTCCCTGCCTCATTTGCAGCTCCTCAATTACTTTAGGCTTTGATGACTAAAGTAAAATTAATCTTCATTACTGTTTTATTTTATAATAATATTTACTAAACCCGCTCGCATACCTGTACTCTGCCTCCTCACCAATTACTACAGATAAAATATCCACACTCCTAGCAAAGGCCTAACCTTCCACTTGTGTGTTAGATATCCCTTCATGTTTACTTGAAGACAATGTTCCAGTAAATTCCCCTGCATTAATCTTCCCTCCCCCTGAGTGAGTAGTTGGACCTGTGGGCTTAGGACCATGGTTGAAGAGGACAGCAACCTTAATTGGCATAATACACTACACAGAAACATTGTTCTACATCCTGCTATGGTGAGTAGCGACTGGGGTCTTAAAAGCTTGTAAGCGGCCATCTAGATGCAACAATGGGTCTCTCCTCATTCGTGCAAAGAAGAATGAAGAAAACCAAAAATACATGGAAACAATTAGTCCAAGGGACTAGTAGACTATGTGATCCTCAGCCTATATGACCATGAAACCAGAACTAGATAGCGCCTGGCTACCACTGTCAACCACTTGGAAAGGGATCAGTTCAGGAGATCCTGGATAGAGTGGAAAACAACGTGGAACGAAACTCAAATTCATAAAAAAAGGACCAGGATTACTGGTCTGATAGAGCCTGGTGAGACCCCTGAGATTATGGCCCCTAATTACCCTTCAGGTCTGGAACTGAACTCACTCCCATGGCTTCCAGCCAAACAACAGACAGGCATATAGAGTGAATAGTGACATCAGATAGATTACTCCTTAGCGCAATCAACTGTGGGAGAACAGAATGCCAGTGTTTGCACAGGGAGATAGCTCGGGGGAAGGAATGCATAGGAAAGAAGGACATAGGGAAGAGGTAACTGCATGGGAGGAAGTAGGAAGAGAGCCATTCCATTGTGGGGAACTGCAGTCAATGTCATGAAACAAAATGTGTATCAACTGCTGTATGTAAAATGAATTTGCTCTGTAAACTTATACCCAAATCATAACTAAAAAAAACCCCCAAAAAACAACAACACAACAACTCCCTCCCTCTAGTGGATTCTTCCAATCACACACAAATGTTTCTTCCCATCCAGGGGGAAAAAAAAACCCAAACCCAAACCCAAACCCAAACAAAACTTAAATCTATCTTCCTCCAGCTACCACTTCACTTCCTCTCCTTCTCTTTATAGCCAAACTCCTTGAAAGAGCAGTCTATAGATTCTATACTTATGGCTTCCAAGTTCTCTTCTCCCACTCTCCTGAACTACAACAACCAGGACACCACCATTCCATCAAAACTATGGCAAAGTCATCAAATAAACCCCTACACTGCAAATTCAAAGGTCAATTTTTAGGCCTCATCTTATTTGACATTCCAGAAACATATGAGCCAAATTCATGTCTTTTTCCTTCTTTAAATGTCGTAATGACTTCGTTTCCAGGACAGCGAACCTGCCTGTTATTCCCTACCCCCCTTACCTTTTGGGTGTACCTGTTCAATCTCCTTTACTGGTATTCTTTACCTCTCCAACCTGTAAACATTGGGCTGCCCTCAAGCTCAGACCTCAGATCTCTTCTCCTTTCTATCTACAGTTATCTTCACGTATATGATGAGGTCTTTGAAATTTATAACTCTGGCTCTGGACTGCGGAATTAAATATCTAACCACCCACCTGACATCGCCATTTGGATGGCTAGTATCGTATGAAACAATATATCCAAATGGAACTTTGCTGTTTCTTCTCAAACCTGCTCTTTCAGCAGTCACCCTGATCTAGGTTAATGGCAACCCCATCCTTCTAGCTCCTCAGGCCAAAATGTCTAGAATCATCCCTGCTAGCTCTCTCTCACATCCCATGTCCGATCTCCCAGCCTGTTGGCTCTATCTTGTAAATATATCCAGAATTTAATGCCTTTTTATCATACCTTCTGCTACCACTCTGTTCCATATCACCATCATTAAAAACTGAAAAACCAAAAACTCACTGCCATCGAGTAGTATCTGACTCATGGTGACCCCTCCTTGGATTTCCAAGGAGGCATCACTATGGACGCAGATTATTTCAATGGCTTTTTCAATAAGCTTCCTGCTTTTACTCTGATCCTCTCACAGTTCATTGTCAATTTAGGAGTAAGGATGACCAAGTTAAGAAAAAAAACCAAAACGCAAACTCACTGCTGTTGAGTCGGTTCTGACTCATAGCAACCCTCCATGGGTTTCTGAGGTGATATCACTACGGAAGTAGATTGCCCAACCTTCCTTCCAAAGAGTGGCCAGTAGTTTAGAACTGCCAACCTTCTAGTTAGCAGTCAAATACCTTTGGCACTATGCCACCGAGCTCCTAAGTTAAGAAAAGTCAGATCATATTTTTTCTGTTTAAAACACACCAATGGCTTTTTGTCTCTCAGAATAAAAACCAAATCCTATAAGAACTTTATTTCTACTACTATGCCACTCCTTCCTCATTGCCTGCTCTAGCCAAAGGGGCTACATTAGCTTCTTTGAGGAACAAAAAATATGCCAGGCTTTCTCCTGCTTTAGGGCCTTGTCACTTGTTTTGTCTGCCTGGAATATTCAAAGTATCCACATGGCTCACTACTTCACTTTAAGTCTTTACTCAAGTATCATCTCGTTGAGGCCTTTTCTGGCCACCTAATCTAAAACTGTGACAGCCTACTTCTTTAGTCTACCTTTCTTGCTTTCCTTTTCTCTTTAGCATTTATTATTACTTGACACATTGTATGTTTTACTTGTTTATCATGTTTATTGCATCTCATACTAACATGTAAGATTCATTTACATCCTTGGAATTTTTCACTTTTTTCTTCATTGCTGAGTCCCCAGCCACTAGGAACAATGCCTCGCACATTGTAGGGACTCAACAAATATTTGTTAAATACACCCACCATTGTACTCTAGTACCTTGCCCAAACCTTAAACACTGATAGCATTCAGAAAATACTGAAAAGAATAAATGCTGTAAAAATGGTTCTTTCCTTTAAAACATATAAAAATATAAAAAATAAGATCAACTCTTGCTTATCACTCTGTACTGTGATACAATCCTGATACAAGCTCAGAAAAATGCATGGGAAAGAAGAGTGAAGAAAATCAAAGGCATCTGGAAACAATTAGGCTAAGGATAAGATGGACCAGGAGGACCTCGGCCTTCATGACCCCAAGACCAGAAGAACTAGATAGTGCCTGGTTACCAATGCCAGCCACGCAAAAAGGGATTAAAACTGGACATCCTGGATACAGTGGGAGGAAAAATGTGGAAAAAATTCAAAAACACAAAAATGACCAGAATTATCAGTCTGATAGAGACTGGTGGAACCCCTGAGACTATGGCCCCAGGTTACCCTTCAAGCCTATTGGGCTGTGAAATCAAATGCGCATGAACTGTTGAATGTAAAACAAATTTGCTTTGTAAATTTGCACCCAAAGCATAATAAAAAATTAAGAAAAGAAAAATGCATGGGATCCTTACCTAGGCCAGCTCTTTCCTGTTTTTTCTTCTGAGAGGCCCAACCCACTATGGAAGATTTATCTCCTGGTTTCTCTTCTAGGCCTCTATTCAAGCGCCAGATTTTCAGAGTATTGTCATCAGAGCATGTAGCAATCTGAGAAGAAAAGCAAAGAAGGGAGTCAAGAAGTTTCAACCAAAGATTGATAATAAAGTAAGAAGTAGATGGGCCTTAAGGGCTCAAGACTGGAGACTTATCTTGTTTGATGTAATAGGATACAGAACATCTACTTTCATACCTTGTTTTTAGAAACCATACTAAATTTCCAAAAAAGTTGACTCTCTAGTTTCTTTATATACATTCTGTTGATATGTCTTTCATTACCCACCCTAAATCTCTACTATAAAACTATGCTCATTTAATTTTCTTCTCAAGAAGTTAGACAAGTTATTATCTTTAATCATCTATAAAACTATGAATATGTAATTAAAAACGCTATTTACTCCATCTCTCTGTTAAATGATCAATCATTGTATTTCCCCAACATTCATCTTTTATGACTTTCTTCTGAATTCTAAGTTCTCCCTTATTGGTAAAGTGTTGGGATCATTTCCAAGATCAGACTTAGCCCATGACTCTAGAGGCCATGACAAGTAGAATGAAACAATGCCTTTGAGATTCTTTTTCAGATAGGTAAAGAGCAATCTGGGAACACAAGTTTACTAGGCTGAAAGAAGTTAAAAATAACCTTTGCCCCTTTAAAAATATCTGACCATTTCTGATCCTGCTCCCAAGCCTTTTATGGCAAAGAAAGTCCAGCTTGAAGATCTTGTGGCAAATGGCCATTGGTACCAGAGCCGTTCCCCAGCATTTGTTTATATAATTTCTCTATTTCAGTTACTAAAGAGGGGGTAAAAAAAAAGAAACAAATGTTCTCCTAAGTCTTGGCCCCCAAGAGACTGGTAGCTTTTTCCTTTCCTTACTGGGAGGCAAAAAGAAGACACATATATTTCACTGCTCAACAGAAATGGCTGGAATCCCCAGTCACCCTATGGTCTATTAAGTTATTATTTACTGAGCACCTATTGTGTACCTGGCCACATCATTTACAGTCTTTATCTCATTTATTTTTCACAATACAAAAAACCATGTTCTTATCTATATAATGAGAATAATTTATTTTCCCAAGATTACCACATTAAGTTTCATAGCTAGAATTTAAACCCAGGTTTCTCTAAATAAACAAACTAACAAAAAACCTAAAACTATATTCTATCTTCCTAACTCTAGGCTTAAGGAGCTCTGGTAGTATAGTGGATAAGACATTTGGCCGCTAACCAGAAGGTTAGTGGTTCAAACCCACCAGCTGCTTCGCGGAAGGAAGATGGGGCAATCTACTTCCATAAAGATTTACAGCCTTGCAAACCAAATGGTGGTTGCTATTGAGTTGGGATCAACTCGATGGAATTAAGACTGGGTTTTGGTTTAACTCCAGGCTTGGGGTGAGATTATTTTAAAGAGTCCTTTAAAAAAGTGGTCACTAGATTTGTATAGGTAAATAGCTCTGCCATTTCCTTTGAGTGTTTTCCATGCCTAGAGATAAGGATAATGTGTGATCAGTCAAAGATGACTTAATTAACTAATTAAAAAAAAAAATTCATCCTCATAAATTCCACGAAGATGCAATACCCCATGTTAAAGGCAGATATTTCATTGGAATATCCAAAAAATTATGTGGCATCTCAGAGGAAAATTATGTCATTGGGATGTAATTATGAGTGTGTAAAACAATGATGGGGGGGGTAGGGAGGGATTGGCCTGCCATGAAGCCAACCACAGAAATGGTAGAAGAGACGTAAAAGTGAAAAGAAATCCACAGTGGTACTCGAAAGCTAGAAGGCATGTTATTTGTAGACCAGACTATGAAAAGCTTTTGGAAGATACAGAACAGATGGGAGCAGATAGGCAATAAAACCTCAAAAACTCATACACGTGAAAGAGGAGACCTCCACAGAAGTGAATTTTCTGTAGAATGCAGAATAACACAAAGACCAGAGGCAATGGACCCTGGGAGAATGAGTAGAATTTTGTTATTATTATATTTATGTTTCTGATTTTTCTACATTTTAGTGGTTTTTTTTTTTTTTTTTTGGTGTGTGTTTGTTTTTAAGAATCACATAGTATGTTCACTGTAAAAAAATAAAAATAAATAAATAAACAAACAAATATGGGCATATTTTCTTCTTTCCAAGGTATCTAAAACATTCCAGGCCTAATTCTTGTGTGGTTTAGCATGGTAACCATTTTGTTAGCCATATATGAAAACCCAAAATGGACTATGAAGAATAATCAAGATGTTACTTTTCATAAACCACCATTGATTAATGTATAGGTAAAGATTTGTTCTCCCCTTAAATTTTAAGATGAAATTTAATTAAGTTTTAAAAAAATACTTAATGCTATGTTTAAGAAAGAAATGACTCTAGGGAACCAGAAATCCATCCTTATTCCTTTGTGTATAATACAGTTTCTTTATTGGTAGAGAAAAGCAGAATATATGTGATTAACTCTCATACAGATCCTGGATGGCCTCATGATCTTTAAAATCTCTTTAAACATAGAAGTCTATATAACTTTCAAATGAACGTTGGGAAACCTACAAATCTGGGACCTATTTTTTAAACTAACTATAGAGATTTGTTTACAAACCTTTGTGAAGTCTGATGGACACCAGCACACAGATGTGACCTCTTGAGAATGACCCAGGAGCAAAGTGGGAGGATGCCAAGGTGTGGAGATCTAATGCACAGTTAAAAAGAAACAAACAAGTTAGCGGAGCAGTGCAAGGTTTCCCAGGTAGAGATTCCTCTCCGTATTTGTCCGTTAGGGTTGTTATTAAAGGCTCCTAGGCTACTCCACGGCACATAATAACAACAACAACAGGCATGCCTAGTTATAGTTCAGAAAGAGTCCCCATGATAATAAAATTGTCTATTTTTGTCACTGATCTGAGAAAACAGAATGAAAACAGCCCAAATAAGTAAATAATATGAACTTAGATATCAGAACAATTCTTGTTTCAAACCTACCAAGCTATATGTATTTGGACTAAAGCTCAAGACTGACATTTTCCCTCACCTCTCAGCTGGTAAACTTTCTGGAAGGATAAAGTTCAGCTGCTAAGATAACCAAATTTCTTGCTGTTGAGTTGATTCCAACTCATAGCAACCCGACAGGACACAGCAGAACTGCCCATAGCGTTTTCAAGGCAGCAGAGTTTCTTTATGGAAGCAGACTGCCATATTTTTCTCTCATGGAGCAGCTGGTGAGTTCGAAATACCAACTTTCCAGTTAGTAACCAAGTACTTAACCATTGCACCACCAGGGCTCCTCAGGTGCTAGGTAATACATGCTAAATGGACCACTTAGTCCTGTTCTCACATAGCCTGAATATTTTCAGATCTTCCTTAGTTAGCTACTTCCAAAAACATTAAATAGACTGCAAATCCTGAAGGTACCTGAAACATATTTTCTTTAGACAAGACATCTTTTTGATAGACTATCGACTCAAAGACTTTTACTAAAATATTCCCCCTCATCTTAAAGGAGTATGTTGCTGTTGCTGTTAGTTGCCATGGAGTCTCTTCCGACTCATGGCAATTCCATGTGTCAGAGTAAAACTCTATTCCATAGGGCTTTTGAGGTTGTGACTTTTTGGAAGCAGATTGATAGGCCTGTCTTCTCAGATTCCTCTGGGTGAGTTTGAAATGCCAACCATTCGGCTAGTAGTTGAGTGCTTAACTGCATGCACCACCCAGCACTCCTTGAAGGGATATAAACTATATTTTACGTGGTACTCTGGTATCCTTACTGGGGGAAAAATCCTCTAAAATCTTATTTCAGTTAATATAATTAAAAGAACTCTCAATTTTCAAAGAAGTATCACCATATACATGTGTGTATACATACACACAGGCCAATTCCTCATCTATTGACATGGTTAGGTTCTAAAGAGCAGGTTGTTATTTGAAAATGAGGATGACCCCATCAGATCACAAAACAGAGGATGACAACATTACTATGTTGTTGTTAAGTGCCGTCGAGTCGTTTCCGACTCATAGCGACCCCATGCACAGCAGAACGAAACACTGCCTGATCCCGTGCCAGCCCCACAATCCCTGCTATACTTGAGCCCATCATCACAGCCACCGAATCAATCCATCTC